GGAGGTGCTAGGTCGAGGCCATGGAGGCGAGGGCAATGGCAGCAACGAGGACGGTGAATCCCATGATTACTTGATGTTTGTGTGCGAGGGTAAGTGTATGAGGTGCAGGAATGTGCACTCCACTGACTGACTTGTTAGTATGGATTGGATGTCTTTCAGAATGTCTTTCTTGACAATTCGAGTATTTGTTAGGAGTTGGAAGACCTCGAATACTAGGTAGGTACTATTGAACTCTCCGAAAGACCGTACAGTTTACCTAACCACATCCACTCGACACACTTACCAGCCGGACAAATGCTTTACCGACCTACGAGCTTTGACAGATCGTTGGAGTTTTGAAGAATGTTTCCCCGGCGTTTTCGCTGTCCGACTTCTTCAATAGTCTCGACCCTCGAGGTCAGCACGGATACTACATTTCATAGCGTTCGAGCGCTAGAGGTTCCGAACAGCGCCGCTCGGGTAGCTAACTTACGACAGGTGGAAGACGCTCATATTTAGCTCGGGTTGAGCTCCACTTCCAACAGAGTCATATCTTCGGCCGGCCATTCTTGGTATGTTCAGAAGGATGGGCGCATCAGAGCTGTCTGGAAGACCCGTTTGTCTGATGACTTCCGTAGGGCTGCGAATGGAGGGAGGTTCGGCTGCTTTGCCACATCGCTTCGGCTGTTTTGCCACATTCAAACCCCGAATGGAGGGCTCCGGAGAATAGAAACCGAGAGGAATGGCTTTTGAGGCTAGTAGGCGGGCCCACTTCACGCCGCCAGGCTTACGATACTGACTGATGAAAGAAAGCAGGACTTGGATCTGTCGGCGCCGAGGGTCATCGAGATAGACGGACGTTGGGCTTTACGAGGCGAAGGTAGAGCCGTATCATCATGCCTTGCGTATGTCATTGTATGATCTCGTGCCTCACTCCCTCAGTCTAACGAAGCACACCATCAGAGTGTGATACCGACGGCCATTGCTTGTGGCACCCTGGTATATCTTGTGGCATTGACGTAGACCGTGCTGGAGATACAAGGAATCGATGCCCGGTAAAGGTCCAAGCAGATACGGGAGAAATCTGTCGAAGGGAAGATCCTCGCAGACAAGGGGGTGGCAGGTTGTCAACGCGACGAGTGAGGCATAAAACTCGTTACCACACTCAATGGGCACAATTTCTCAAGACCCATTCACTCCCATACCATTCAGGATTTCTACACCTACGATTGGTACGCTCTTACTCGACACATGTCAATCATTTTACTGATAACATTCCAACTAGCACCACAACATGCCCGAAGCACCAAAACAAGTATGCTCGATGGGGAAGCTCCCCAACGAACTGCTTTCGGAAATATTTGTTCTCACACACGCCTCCCATCCTCGCGAATCGCCCTTTCGTCATCCTCTTTTCCCCAAAGCTCAACCCATCACTCTGGGATCTGTTTGTAGACATTGGAGATTTGTTGCACACAATACTAAGTCAATTTGGCAAGAATTCGACTACTTCCCCCTCGACCAGCTTCCCGACCATATCCTAGGTTCTGACGACAGCGATCTGGCTGGCTTACGTGAAAGGGCGGGTACCGTGCTGGAACGGTGGCTCAAGCTGGGTTGCCAGACCTCTTCTCAAACGTCTGGTTTGCGGTTCTCCTTTCGGATGGTTGGAAGCTGGTACTACACGCCTCTGGAAGTCGACCTGCTGCGCGTACTGGTGGGCCGCTCAAACCATTGGGTATCCTTCGTTTTGGAAATGGACATGCAAGGACGAAATTGCTATGCAAATCTCGAACCCCTCGGCGGAATCCGAGGGAAAATACCCCGTCTCGAGTACCTCGAGATTACCCTGCAGGGCAACTCGTTGGCCCGCAAGACACCAGGATATCTGATGGATGCGTTTGAGTATGCACCACGGTTGAACCATTTCATGTCGTATGGGTTCTGGCACGCAAAACGAGACTTCAAACTGCCGTGGGGTCAATTTGGACTTGTTGTGTTTCGTGATAGGAGGCGTCAGGACAGCTACCATGTCCTCAGCCTTGCCACTTCCGCTTCAACCGTCTCGCTACGGACCCGTCCAATGGGTAGGGTCACCGATGTGTATCCTGAGCTGACTCTGCCTGCGTTGAAGACGCTGGAGCTTGGAAATGACCGCGGAGAAGGGGAGATTCTGTCGTCTCTTAATGTCCCAAATCTGGATTGTCTCATGCTCATTGACCACTGCTATGGGGAAAGCTCGGTCAGGCATGCTCACGAAATGGTGGTTCGATCCCGGTGCAAGATTACAGCTCTCGAGTTGGAGGGCGCGTTCTTCGGCTCTTGCAACGATATCCTCTTGCTGCTCCATTCTTGTGATAGCTCACTCCGCGAGCTTTCGCTGGATGGGATGCTGGATGGCCCGCCCGGACAGATGGAGGAATTGGTCCAGACTTCCAACATTCTTTCTTCGCTTTCGACGATTCTAAGTCTTCGGTCTACGGATACCCGTCTCATGAATCTCCAGACTCTGAACCTGTACCTCACGATCGGGATAAATTCGGAGTCCGAAGGTCGATTGTGGCTGTTGTATGCTTGTGAAGTGTTCGAGGCAGTCGCAAGGCGGAACGAGGTTCTCATAGCTCAGGGAAAGAAAGTTCTAGTGCTGAATCTGTATGTGTCCGGATTGGCCTTTTCCCGCTCGGAACTTGATCAACTCCGATTGTCGTGGGAGGAGCTTTCAAAATGCCGGGGAGCGGGATATCTGAATGTCGGGTACAACGGCTAAAGTTTACAATGAGTGTTACTATAAAGTGTACGATAGCTTATGCATCATTCTTATACAGCTCATAGCTCCGGAACATCCGAATCCAATCTAATAAGTAGCACCCTCGAACTACTAGCATAGCGGGACGCCGGGCCGTATGGAAATACGTCTGATGGCATCGATGATCGATCACTTCAACAGCAGTTGTTCCCTCACATCCACGACCAACCAAACCGAGGGATCGTTTCCGCCTTACTCTGCACTTACTCCGTGTGGATGAGGTACGTATCCTATCAAGCTATCAATTGAGAATGAAATACTGAGCCATCACTTCAAGAATGGCTTGCACTTCGCGTTTTGATGGCTTTCTCGACACCAACTATGTTCCTTCAACAGAGGAGGTGAAGGATATTCGAACCCTACTGGTTGATCCAGAAACAGAACTTAGAAACCTTGAAGAAGAGATCTCACGCCTCCAAGCCCGACGCGATGAGGTGAACGGGTTCATCCATCGACATCGCATGCTTTTATCGCCATTTCGACGGCTTCCCAGAGACCTTTGGGGCGAAATATTTGTGCACTGCTTACCTGATGAGAGGCCACCCATTCGCAGTATTGCAGAAGCGCCCCTTCTCCTCACCTATGTATGTAGGTTGTGGCGAGATATCGCGTTGCACACTCCAAGGCTGTGGAACGCCCTTCACGTGTACATTTCACACTCCGTCTTCCCGACCCGCAATAACGATATCGTGTCTCGAACGAAAGGAGTAGAACGCTGGCTCAACAGGTCAGGATCCCTGCCCCTCACGATATCGTTAGCTTCCTCGGACAATGCCTTGTCCTGGGAGGGGTATACCGGCTGGATATCACCGACCGAGGAGAATTCGTTCAACGACCTTCGCACGCGCTTTACGGAAATGATCCTTCGAGAATCCAGTCGTTTGAAATCCCTCACATTAAAGGGCGTACCTACAGGGATGCATGCTCTCTTGGAAAGACAAGAGTCTAAGGTCTTCCCCCTACTAGAAGAGATCACCCTCGACCCCAAACCGAATCTTACGATTCCGTCCCCATTCGTGGCCATTCTACAGCGATCGCCGGGTCTGCAGGCCCTTCACACTAACGTGTGCTACACTGGCGATATCTACCAGTTCAAGGCTGTATCACATCTGACGAATCTGGTCACATTGACTCTTTCTATAACGCACCAAATCGATGGACAATCATTGATTGACGCCTTGTCTTCCATGCTCCCTCTCCTTGTCGAACTTTCTATCACCTACAGGGGGCTCACATTCTACGGAGGCACAGATATCTCCCCCACGCCGAAGAAGTGGCTTCGCCTCCAGCAACTTAGCTTGATCGGCCAAATGCCTTGTTCATATTCCAAAATCCGGCATCTCTTCAGATCCATATACGCCCCGTCGTTGATCCATCTGCGCCTTGAAACTAATACAAACTCAGAGTCCGAGCCATCCTCAGACAGAGATGGTTTACTCTTCCACGATATGGTCACACTGTCGAGTTGCAATCTGGTCAATTTGCAGATATCGATTGACTTTGGGCCTGGGTTTTTGACCACCCTCTCTCAGCTAGGGTATCTCACCTCGTTGAGCGTTGTTGTCTGGTCACGCTCTACTTCTCCCATGAGGCATCCCTGTGCTAAGCTTATCGCCCTTCGTCGCGACACTGATGTCTCAGGAGCCGGCGAGTCGGGACTACGCCCGGCTCAAACTCAGTTGGATCTGATTATCGAGGCGTTGGCGTCGTCAGTTTCATCCGACCGGCTCCAACGGTGGACGGAGACGGCGGATGAAAAAGACAGATTGTTGTGTCCCCGTCTTGAGCACATACGGCTGTCTTCTTGCAAGATCGAAGACAAGGAGAAATTGATAGATTTCGCGCGTGCTCGCGGCGAGCTCAGTGGGACGCTGAAGCGTCTTGTGGTCAACTTCGAACGCGTGATGGCAGAGACCGTCGAGAGGGTAAGGTCTGAAGCGGAGGCGGCGAGAGGAGAGGGGCGAGTTGATACTGGCGGGGTGAGAGTGGAGTGGGAGTTCAGCCGAGTACTTTACAAGTCTGAGACTGACTTGCGGGAAGACCCTCGGGTGGGGATGGAGGAGGTTCCAGCACGACCGTTGAGGGTTTTTGTGTAACGAGTCTTCAAAGAAGATGGACACTCTTTAGTTAACATAGTTATTCATGAGTCACGACTTCCTCAGCCTGTCAGCATTTATGCTAGCTAGATACGGTCACGAAGAGATTTATGTACAGTTCCCTGGTAGTATATCGGTTAGTACACGCGCCTGTCACCTCACGGTTGTTTAGAATGCCGCGCGAAAGCTGGGTTCGACTCCCAGCCAGGGAGGTCTCGCGAAGCCGGTGGTTTTTTTCTTGTTCGTCATAGAAGTTGTCCGTCTAATGTTATTGAGTAGGCAACTTCTGAATATCCCCACATAGAGGCCGCAATATCCACGTGGAAACATGAAAGACGATTATCCTAATATCCAGGTGACCGGTATTGCTTAGATCATCAAAGACCTGTCTCTAGTATGTTAGCCTTCCGTAGACCACTTGAGCATGAGTCCTTTTTCAAGGCAGTATGCATTTCATCATCGATCTGAACAGACTGAAGCTCTCAGTGATGTGTATCATTATGGGTCCAAGGTCGGCAGAACGATTGACGCGTTCGGCGTGACACACGTGTGATCAGGTACCGACGAAGTGTTGAGAAGTCGTCACAAGACGTCACAACTTTCTCTTTGACCACAACCTCCATCATGAATTCTACGATTCGTGATTTCTCGAGAATTTGTTGCTCGGGGATGTAGCATTTTCCCTGCGTCTTGATAGCGCCAGCTTACCCATGATCTGCTTGGCGTTCTTTTCATTTCGCCATTTTTCGCCAGGTACCCGACCAGTACGTTGACTCTACTTGCCTGTTCTCTTGCTTTCCCCATAACGAATAAAGACCTTATTTTACTCGTTTTGACGACTTTAAAAGCCGCAATCCGTCCCTTCATCGCGGATCCTCTCTCACAAGGATCATTTCATCATACTAGCGAACGTAAAGGACGGCCGAGAAATGAAATCTGCCAGCGCGCAGATGCCCCTTACTGCCCACGCTCAATATCCTGCTTACCTGAATTGGCGGTTTTCCCTCTGACGACGACTCGTTGCGCTGAAGAAGACGAATCGGACAATTACCACATGAAGTTCCCAGGAGATGATGAAAAGATATAGATACGAGCGCGACGAGAGCCATTGAGAAGACGCAGAATGAAACTGGTGAGAGATGTCGATGGACATGGACTCCTGTTCACAATGAAGGTATGTTGATGCCACGACCTTTGATGACCGAGAATACATGATCAATCTGTACATACATAGCGAAGTGGGACGAGCACACAAGACTGGTACTCGTTCGTCGGGATCGTCATCAAGTGGCGTGAACTTAACCCTCCTTGAGAATGATCATCCGCAAAGAGTTGGAACGGATCTTGGTCTTGGCTGAGCCACCTCTGAGGGTAAGTACATCATTGTGTTATTTTTCTGTCGACCTTTCGTCACGCATTTCAAGTAGAACCGGCAGCTACCTTTCGCCGGATTACTCATAATGATTTCGCCCCAGTATCACACCACTATCTGCGCAACCCGACTCTTCCACGCTGTCGAATGACTCGCAAGTCGGGAAGGCCCATGAATGACCTCGTAGGTGATGATACCCGATGGTCTGGATTTACGATTAGGAGGCGAGCAACGAGCGGCTAGTAGGAACCCGTGATGTTGAGGGTACCCTTAAACTCTGGTACGGCACCGACCTAAATCAAACACCTGGATAGGAGAACAGGCGATGACGAACTCCGGCGGCGAATCTATACCGCCAATGCTTTAAAGGCGAGAAATTCGAGACCACAGGACAGTACACTTTCTTTCCTGTGGATAACCTCTTGGGTTTCTCAGCCTGCAACATGCAAAGTCTACTCTCCGACCCTCGTTCTCAGAGATGGGAAGCAAAGACGGCTCAACAAAAGTTCAACACGATGGGGACCTGGTTTATCGGTCCCAAAGGCGAGAATGGCGACCTGTTGAAGACGTCGTTCGACCTCATCCTCAAGGAATCATGTAAAGCCCGCCGGGACTACTTCCCTTCCGATCCGGTGCGTCAGCGTGCTTCTAGTGCCAATGGACAACCTAACACGTTCCTCCCCAGAACTTCATCACCGAGGAAATGCAGGAATCTGCAGAGTACAACGAAGGCGTCAAGGACATGATTGACGTCCTACAAGACATCAACAAAGGACTTGCCGATCATTCCACCCCGTTTTATTCTCCTCGATATGCTGCCCATATGTCGTTTGATGTTTCGCTTCCGGCGATCGTTGGCTGCCTAGCGGCATTGCAGTACAATCAGAACAATGTCACCCCCGAGTCCAGTCCCTTCACGTCGATTATTGAGCTTAAAGTCGGCCTGGAGCTTTGCGCAATGCTGGGCTACAACGTCGACAAACCCATATCTGCGGGTACGAAGATTGTACCAGAAGCTTGGGGACATATCACCTCCGGTGGCTCGGTTGCGAACCTTGAGTCTATGTGGTAAGTCACTCGCAACCGATTCTTTGACGACTAGACCTGACTAGTCTCTCTCTCTCAGGGTCGCCCGAAACCTGAAGTACTACCCGCTTTCCCTCAAGAAAGCGATGTACGCCGGCTGTCCTCTGGCTTTCGCTGCCAGTACCTTCGCCGTCACTCTCTGCACCGGGGTGTCCAAGAACTTCTTCTCGTGTAGCACCTGGGAGCTTCTCAACCTGACCCCCACCGAGGTTTTGGACCTTCCTATTCGCCTCTCTTCCCAGTTTGGGATATCCCAACCGACGCTCGATCGCATCCTCGACCCGTACAACATCCAGACTATCGGCAAACACCAACTCGATGTGGACTTTGGCATCGATGCGGATCATGCGCCGCGCTACCTGCTAAGCAAAGCCAATCACTACTCGTGGCTCAAGTCTGCTGCACTTACGGGTATTGGAAAGGCGAACGTTGTCGAAGTTCCGATTACGGAGGATGCTCGGATGGACGAGCAAAGCTTGGAGGAGGAACTGGAGAGACACCTGAACGAGAACCGGGCTGTTTACGCCGTCGTCGCTATTATCGGAACGACGGAACACGGTTCGGTCGACCCTCTTAACAAGATCATTGAGATCAGAGGGAGGATGCAGCAGCGAGGATTGTCGTTCATGGTGCACTGTGATGCAGCATGGGGTGGCTATTTTGCGTCTATGAAGGTGGCTAAGCCTCGAGAGACGTCGGAGCCATCCCCTGCGCCCAGTCCTCAGTGGGCTCCACCTTCACCCCCGTCGACAGCTTCAACGCCGCCAACACTATACAGGCCCTTCAGTTCGTCCGCTTCTTTACCCTCTGATGGTTCCTCTGAGCCTTCTGATGCCTCCGAGCCCTCTACGGCTGCCACATCGCCTTCTTCTACTCCTGCCCCCTCAGCTCCTTATGCGTTCCCCATTCCCCTTAGCAGCTATACCAACGCCCAGATGCTGGCGCTACGTTTTGCCGACTCAATTACCATTGATCCCCACAAGAGTGGATTCAACCCACACTCGGCTGGCGCTATCTGCTACCGGGATAAGAGGTTCCGGTACCTCACTACTTGGACGAGCCCCTATTTGAGCGCCAACACCGGCGATGAGAGTAGTGTCGGGATCTATGGTGTTGAGGGAAGGTAAGATGATCTCCGGCGCTTTGTACGTTCCATTGCTGATGTCTCCCTTCCCGTTGATGCAGTAAATCCGGAGCTACTCCAGTCGGAGTATGGATGGCTCTCAAGGTGATGAAGCAGTCTGGCTATGCCAACCTTCTCGGCGTTACTATGTTGACTGCGAAGAAGGTATGCCGTTCCTCGTTATGACATCGTCTTCGATACTAACCCTAGACCGTTCTTTCTCCCTCCAGATGTACGCAAACTGGGCAACGATCACGCTCGGTTCCAAATCTCTCGTTGTCACGCCCTTTGTCCAACTTCCGTCCGAAAAGGCCGGATTATCTCCCAAGGCGGTTTACGAAGAACGTCTTCGCATCCGAGACAAGGTTCTTTTGCAACCGAACGCCCTACTCGAGCAAGACGACGAGACTTTGGCGTTCATACAACATCTAGGATCTGACTTGACGAACAACCCTTTTGCCTGCAACTTCCACCTTCGAGACGGTACTCTCAACACCGACGTCGTCGAAGCCAGTTTCCTGAACCGGAGACTGTTCAAGCGTTTTTCGGTAGGACGGATTCGGGATGGGGAAGCTCAGGCCGGGCTCAACGAAAAGCCGCTTATACTGATGCCGATGAAGTTCATGCCACGAAAGTATGGACCAGAGGTCTTGGGGAGGTTCAAGGAACGGATGGGGCTTATTGAGAACGTTGATGGAGACGAAGAGGCGGAATTACATGGGTTGTCGAACGTGTCCATGTCGCCTTGGCCTACTGCGAACGGGTTTCTCAAGACAATGGCGGAGGCGTTCCGGACTGTGGCTGAGGAGGAGATCGAGGTGGGTAGTTTTGGATATACTCGTTTAGTTTTCGCTCTGGCTAACTTTGTTTTGTTTAGACGGCCCTTGTGCGAGTTGAGGACAGGCCGGCCATGCACAGCTTCGCTATCCATGGGGAAGACGAATTGTTTTTGGTGTATATCGGTTCTTTCAACGTCGAGAGGTACCGGCGCCAGGTCATCATGAAGGCCAAATTCGACGACAAGGCAATGCTTTTCAAGCTGCAGGAGGAGCGTAAGAAGAAACCCAGTGCAGTTTTCTCGCTCCACGTCGGGCTTGTGACGCTCATGCAGTTACTGGATAAGAAGGAGTGGGCTGGGGACATCTACGAGGGTCTACCATCCACCTATGGGTTCGTGTCCAAGCATTCAATGTACCTCTCCGTCGTCACTGACTGGTACCCCCAGAAGAATACCTTCCCTGGCCAACGTCTCGTTGAAGGTGGAGACCGTCGTGAATAACTCGCTGCATCGCTCCAACCTCAGCAAAACATACCCTACCAACATGCCTTTTCACATTTTTGGTAACTCGACTGAGCTGCATATTGAACATGCGCTTGTTTGCTCCCCCAACGTCCAGCTTACGGCGAGCGGGGTTAAGCTCCGCCTCGATCCTCCCCTTCTGCAGTCTGACATAGTTGGGAAGGTGCTCGTCATTGATGAGCTCCGAGAGGACCTAATGCAGCCCTTTATTATGGGTGCCCAACCGACTTTCGTGCCGAACAAGACCTTCAACATCTCCATCCACGATAACCTCCTCGCTGCGACCGCCGATGACTCCGCTCCGCTTGCTACGGGGATCATGACCCTTCCC